AATGTTTCAAAGAAGTTGAAGTTGAACCTGACCTAGACTTCTCTAGCTTGCTATAGTTGAGAATGTTGAATTCAATAACAGCTTTATATACCAATCCATGTCAGATATTCAGCATGTGAAATATCATTAAATATTTTATAGTAATATTAGGACAGAAAAAACTCACAGGCATCATACACACATAGGCATGCACACATACATGCACACATACACATCCTTTTCATTTGTCTCATGCAGGAACACAAAACTGTTCTATATTCTATACTGGCCTGGACCCAACTATCTAGCCAAGGCTATATGCCAAACCATGACAATTATAATGTTTGCAGCCTCCCAAATGGTGAGATGACAGGCATGAGGCAACACACATGACTGAGAAATGCATCTGTTTATAAAGTGACTCTACATGTGTGAGCAAAAGAAACCTCTTGGCATGGGACATCATTTCAGTGGCTAATCTTGCAAATACAAGCTAATATATCTTTAAGAATATATCACTTCTCTTTTGTGTTGTTCCCCAAGTGATTAATGTATTGTTACCTTTGGATAGCAGCAATATTTTGATTCAGAAATCCTTTATCAGGGACTTCAAGCCATTTTTGTATAGGTCAGAACAAAACAAGCTTCCTTGTATACATCCGACACATTCTTTATATGTACAAAAAAAGAAAAACAAGAATCATAATAGTCAATATACATTGGAAAAATTATTAAGAAACATTTTTGTTGAAAAAAATCAGTTTAGAACAGTGGTTCAGGACCTGTAGGTCCTAAATCCTTTGGAGTTTGCATATAAGACATTTAAGTTACAATTCATAACAGTAGAAAATTATAGATATGAAGTAGCAACAAAATAATTTTATGGTTAAGGGTTGCCACAACACGAGGAACTGTATTAAAGGGTCAGAGAATTAGGAAGGTTGAGAACCACTGGATTAGACCCCATTTCCTTAAAAGATTCCCAACAAGTCATCTACTCAGAATCTCAGCTCAACTGTGGATTGAAGCAGGAGCTTGGGTTTTCTCATCTAAGACTGGAGTCAAAGGAGCAAAGTCTGGATGTGGTGGCAATGAAATAAACCTACTCTCTGCTAAAAGTGCTCTTCCTGGATATAAGCACCCAGAAAAACAGGCAGGGTCAGTAAACACCTCATCCTGATTCTACAATTTGATAAATCAGAGCTTTTAATTCATATTCATGGTAAGAAAAGTCCTAATGTGCATGTAGAGCTCTGCTTACAGGCACACTTGGAGTAGGGCTGAACTTTCTCACCTGACCTCCTTGTGTCCCATGTGAGAATTTCTCAGTTTCACATTGATTCCCTTAACTGTGCAAAAATTCAACTCTTTAAATTGTAAGCAGCAGCTTGTGTGATGGACGGCAAAGTCCTTTTATCTGATTCCTTCCAAACCCAGGGTTTGATTGTGTATATACTGCACTTTCAAAAGGCTAGGGACACTGATGTGTGAGGCTTAGGTGGGCGTGGTATTACACACTTAAAATCTCAGAGCTCAGAATGATGCAGTGAGACCTTAGGTTAGGGGTTAGAGTGGGTTTCAAAGACAGATGAATCTCTAAATAAATGACCAAACTAAAATAAAATGGGAGGAATCTCTATTTTTGGTAGGAAAAATAGCCAGATATCAAATTACCTAAAAATAGCTTAACATGCACATATCCACTTTTCTCACTAAATAGCCAAGAACAGTTCAGGCTTAACTAGTTCAGGAAACACCACCATCAACTTTCATGTTCATGATTCAGTAAAGGTTGACTCATTTCAATGTTTCCTGATCTGTAAATGGTTAAGCATGGGTAGAAGCACTAAGGAGAGAAAAATGAGAAAAATGGACAAATCCCAAGTCTTCTTGTACCTTTAATGGGCTATGAATGCACAGGATTGCCTTGGTAGTCACTGATCTTCACTTTCTTCCCATGGTGTGGTCCCAACTTTCTGGCAATAAGAGCAAGTCACACCTGGCAATCTCTGGGGTCAAGGAGAGATCCAGCGGTACCTTTGCCTGATATTACTAAGCTTGCCTACTCTCAGGGCATTATCTCTCCCCTTGATATCTGGGTCACACAGAGTCTACGGAGAGGTGAACTCAGAACAAACCCCAGTTAAAATAAACAAATGGTGTTTGCTGTAGAGCCACTGCTTATAGACAGCTCCATGGCAAGTTCAATGTGGTAGACTCTTCATGAGTAGGTTAGGCTAATTCTTGCTTATCTGACATGGGATTGGGATGGCAACATCTGGTAAATGTGAAAGTACTTGCTTATTTTTTGGTAGAGAAGGAAACAATTTCATGTATGTACTTGACAGAGTGCAGCATCCAACTCTTTGTGAACCTGTTACTGGTCTTTGGTGGTCTAGTCATATATATATATATTTGGTAAGCAGGATTTAAGACGAGATTTGTAAATCACACTTTTCCCACTATTACTGTTTGTTTTGTTATTTCCTCACATGGTGAGGTCAGAAGTGAATCAATGGAGTCCTTTGCATATGTTAGGCAAACCTAACATATGGGGAAGTTATCTTCTAACAGGCTCTTCAACTGTGTCTTTGTGATAAATCCTTTAGCTTATCAGACTTTTATCTACCAGGCCTATCATTCTGAGGTCATTGTGTAAAGGAGACTATCATCATCAGTTTATCTCAAGGAAGGAAAGTACTTAAGCATCTCTAGAGGGACGCTGAGTGTGGAGGATGCTAAACTTTCTTCACCTTTAAGACAGATGCAACAACAAGGACAGATTCCTCAGTCAAGCTGAATTCCTCCCCATCATCAAGCTTTTCTTTAAGAGTTCAGAAGGATTTGTTGGCTATTGTTCTGAAGATTTTCTCCATATATGGTCCCTTTTCCTCAATAATAGAGCGTGTGTCCTGTGTGAGGTAAAGGAAAGCTTCTGTTATTATAGATCCATGCTTTGGAAGCACCAGTGTGTCTCTTACTGAGAACCAGAGCAAGGGCAGGCACAGGTGCAGAGCTACACCTGGGAGGAAGGAAGATTTTGAATTTTTCTTTAATTTTTTCTTTCTTTTTATAGCTTCAAGATATATCTTCTCCCTTAATTACTTTTCCTAATTTGGAACACTGGAATTTGTTGGAATCAGTTATTCCTCAGCACTGACTCACACTTTTGTCCCCCAAGCGTTTTGGTGAATGGTCCCCTCTTACTCTTGCCTTCTCTTCTATGAAGATCTTTCCCAAACCTGCCATCCTCAGTTTCTATTGGTATATTTCCCTTCCAGTATCCCAGCTGTTATTATTACTTCCTGTCCGTCCTGGGCCCTGTTATGAGTCTTAAAATCTGTGTTTTTAAGAAATTTCTATCTTATTACCCTTCCTTTGACAGACTCTCATTTCCTTCATCTGTGACTTTTATTTCCAACTATCAATGTCATAAGATGCTGTCACAGTCAAGAACTCAAAGGAATATCAGTTCGTCTTCCATGTTTTCAGTATGTTAAAATGACTACCATACATAACCTTTACTGAATATTTTCTCTACTATCAAATTTGGGATGATCATAATCATGATTACCAGAAAATTTTGTAAAATACACAAGGTGTGGGCAGTAACTATCATGTCTCTGGCATGATAAACTTGTTCATATGCAGCATAAATTCCTGAAACTGAGTATAGTGCTAAAATGGATGCCACACAGTAAATATGTATTTTCAATGGCAATTTAGTAATATTTAAAATAGCTCATACCATATTTGGTGGCTTGTAAATATATTCTACTAGGATGAAAGGGTTGATATATAACACATACCAATGCTTATATATAATTCCTTTAAAATATAAAACATGACACTCTAGATATTTTGAATTATAAGATAGAATAATCTCAGAAACAGTGATATTAAGGAAGATCCCTGAGTAATACGCAGTCATGAAAGAATTGAAGTTTGGGGACTCAGAGGGTCTCACCCATAGACCTATTTCCTCTAATAAACTTGTGGGTTTGGGTCTTTGTGGAAAATAGTGGAAGACATGGAAATACTGTAGGTTTTTGTTATTATGCTTTTGTTTGTTTTATTTTGTTTTTTCAGTTTCCTTGAATTACATGACTCTAACTTCAGCGCTATTAATTTCTTTGAGGCACTATTTTAAAAGAATCTCACCCTCTGGACAGGTTATCTAAATATTCATCAATTTTACAATTCACTGAAGACAGAGGTTCCCAGAAAATATGTTGAAAAGGAGAGCTTGTAGACACCCAGAGTGAAACTCACCAATATTAGAGTAAACAGATTGCCATCTTCACACACACTCAGGAGAGACATCCGTAAGAGTTGTCTCTTTATTGGTGGTGAAGGGGTATCAGGATTTACAATGAGTTGGTCTTCATTTGGGGCTGGTGGGGTGTAAGAATTTCCAACCTGCTGGGCGGTGGTGGTGCACACCTTTAATTCCAGCACTCGGGAAGCAGAGCCAGGAGGATCTCTGTGAGTTCGAGGCCAGCCTGGGCTACCAAGTGAGTTCCAGGAAAGGCGCAGAGCTACACAGAGAAACCCTGTCTCAACCCCCCCCCCCCGCCGCCCCGCAAAAAATTAAAAATAAAATAAAATAAAAATAAAAATTTCCAACCAGGTGTTCCTCATTTGGTTCTGGTGGGGTGTCAGAATTTCCAACTAGGAGTTCCTCATTGGGTACTGGTGGGGTGTAAGAATTTCCGACAAGTTGTTCTTCCTTTGGTGCTGGTGGGATATCAGAATTTCTCACAAGGTGAGAAATTTCTCTTTGGTGTTGGTGGGGTGTCAGAGTTTCCAACCAGATGTTCCTCATTTTTTGCTGGTGGGGTATGAGAATTTCCATAAAAATGTTCCTTATTTGGTGCTGGTGGGGTGTAAGAATTCTCAACCAGTATTTCTTTGTTTGGTGCTGGTGGAGTGTCACAATTTCCAACCAGATGTTCTTCCTTTGGTGCTGGTGGGTGTCACAATTTCCAACGAGGTGTTCCTTGTTTGGTGCAGGTGGGTTTTCAGAATTTCCAACAAGGTTTTCTTCTTTTCGTGCTGGTTGCTGTGAGAATTTCCAACCAGGTGTTCTTCTTTTGGTGCTGGTGGGGTGTCATAATTTCCCACCAGGTTTTCCTCATTTGGTGCTGGTGGGTGTGAGAAATTCCAACCATGTCCCTTGTTTGGTGCTGGTGGGTGTGAGAATTTCCAACAGGATTTTCCTCCTTTGGTGCTGGTGGGGCGTGAGAATTTCCAATGAGGTGGTCCTGGTTTGGTACAGGTGATGTGTCATAATTTCCCACCTGGTTTTCATCTTTTGGTGCTGGTGGGGTACAAGAATTTCCAGCCAGATGTTCCTCCTTTGGTGCTGGTGGGTTGTGAGAATTTCCAACTAGATGTTCATCATTTGGTCCTGGTGGGGTGTGAGAATTTCCAATGAGGTATTCCTCATTTGGTGCTGGATGGGTGTGAGAATTTCTAAAGAAGTGTTCCTGTTTGGTGCTGGTGGGGTATCAGAATTTCCCACCAGGTTTTCTGCTTTTGGTGCTGATGGGGTGTGAGAATTTCCAACTAGATGTTCCTCCTTTGTTGTTGGTGGTTGTGATATTTTCAAACCAGGTGTTTCTTGTTTGGTGCTCGTGGGTTTTGAGAATTTCCAGGGAGGTGATCCTTATTTGGTGCTGGTGGGTTGTGAGAATTTCTAACCAGTATTTCCTTCTTTGGTACTGGGATGTGAGAATTTCCAATGAGGTGTTCCTTGTTTGGTGCAGGTGGGGATAAAAATTTCCTACCAGGTTTTCTTCTTTTGGTGCTGGTGGGATGTCAGAATTTCCAACCAGATTTCCCTTGTTTGGTGCTGGTGGGATGTCAGAATTTCCAACCAGATTTCCCTTGTTTGGTGCTGGTGGGGTGTGAAAATTGCCAGTGGGTTGTTTTTCTTTGGCACTGGTGGAGTTAAGCACATGTTGTCTTGGCTGGTATCTGAGCCTCATGTAATCATCAGATTTAAAATGATGTTTTGATTTGTTTCTCAGAATGTAAAAAAGAAAGGAGATCACTGTATGTTGTAATTCAACCCACTTAGCCCTCTCATGCCCTCTTCATTTTATAGCTTGCACACCATCTACATAAACATAATACACAGAAAATAACAAATATTATGGCATTTATAATAATGAGTCTGCATTATGAGGAACATGATATCTATTGGCATATGACCCATACTTGTAGGTATAATCAGTAAATTCTGGTGTTTGTCTTGGACACTATGCATATTGGTATTAGGTCAAGCAGTGATGTAGTATTCAATCTGAGGCTTCCTGTGTGAATTCTTGACTGAACAGCATTGGGCACTATAATTTAAACACAGTATCTGCACTTCATCACATATCTTGCCTGACTGAATTTCTCTGACAGCCTTTAGCTCCCCCCCTTGAACTACGAGCTCAAATCTGAGATCACAGCATAATTCTCCCCTATGGGTATATTATGCTATATGAAGACTTCCAAAAGAGACATGCATGATGGTGCACACCTTTAATCCCAGTTCTCAGGAAGTAGAGCCAAGATGATCTCTGTGAATTTATGACCAGCCTGCTCTACAAAGCTGGATCCACAACAGTCAGGACTGTTAAAGAGAGAAACCCTGACTGGAAAAATTGAGTGACTATTCTGAGTATTATAAAAATCAGTCAGGAGTCAAGATATCGCGGTAAGTGACATTTCTCCACATATTCTCAATTAATTGGATACTTGGCACTGCTAGGATTTACTTCTTACATAAGTTCAGGACCACTGTGAAGAAGGAATGACAATGCACAGGCAGTTTCTGACAACAGGAAAACACCTATCATGTACAGGTGAAGTTTCACTTCCAAATGGTTTTAGTACACTCCCAATGGCTGTTTGTTGTAAATGATGTTTTCAGGTGCTATGAGTCTAACTCATAGGTTAAGCTAATAGAGCATCTATACTTACCCATAACTCCCTCACTGTGGAGAGAAGCAGTTGGACTTCTGGGCACTGCATCATTGCCTGTGGGGCATGTCCTCCCACTGGGACAGGGCCTTCTTCTTGTTCCTTTTCCTCTGTCTCAACACTGTCGGTTGGAGTGTTCAGGAAATTGTAAGCCTTCTCCCCATTAGAGCAGAGCAATGAGCTATATAATGAGCTCTCATAAATGAGGTCTTCTCCAAATATTTTTGGATAATTCTCAATAAGGAATTTGACAAGAGAAATCTGTGATAAAGCAAAGCAAACACAAAGGGTCTCTGACATTTTGCATGGTTGTAAATCACATTTGATATATGAGCCTTGAGGCTAAAAGTGTGTAGTTCAAAATCAGAGAAAAAGTCAGCTTCTATAAAATATAGGGGAACCTTCTGCTAGAAATTTGAAAGATTTTTGGGATCAGATAATAAAATGTGATCGTCACAGTGCAATACTCCCTAAGAGGATGATTTCTAGTGCTCCCCATGGGGTGGCTAATATATACTGTTAACTTGGATAACTTTTGTTCCATTTGTGGTAGACATGGCTGAGCATGTTTGTAAAGATGCTTACAGAAAGGTACAGTTAAGGAGGGAAGACTTCCCCTGAATATGGGCTCCATCCTATTGAAAGTTCCCATTGGGTGACTAAAAATGAAGAGACGGGCAAAGGCAACTGAGCAGCAGCATTCATGTGTCTCTGATTGCTCAGTGCAGATCCCATGTTAACAGCTTGGCCCCCGGGTTCATTGTATTGGGAGATATTTGAAGTGAGGCCTATTTGGAGGGAACTGGATAATTGTGGATCTGCAATGACAGGTTGTTTAGAACCCTAGCTTTCTCTTCCATTTGTTGATTCTACATGATATGAGGAAAAGATGTCCTGAGTCAGACCCTCATGTGATGTACTTCTTACAGGCCCAAGAGCAATTGCTCAATCAATAGTTAATCAGAAACTCAAATACTAGAGTCTTTATACTGAATAAACTCTGGTGCTTTATTATAGTACTTGAAATGTGCCTGCCATAGGAAAGTGTCTCTAAGCCAACCATAATCAGCAACAAGAGGCCAAGGATATGTTTAATCACACTAACCATGTCTTAGAACAACATATCTGATAAATAATCCATATTGTCTTTGTTTAGTTGGGAAACTACCTTGAAAACAAGTAAAAATTCACACATCCCTCAGTGATGACATCAAGGGTTCAATCTTGATTTTCTAACCCAGCACCCATGTTTTCTTATCATTTCACAATACTAGCTCTCTGTGGGTTAGTCTAGCAATATTCTAAATTGCAATCGACAAAGGACTGAGTCACTGAGCTCAAATACCCATTTAAACTCTACTAACTCAAAATCCACAAGCGATTCTTCCCCTCCAGAATACTCTGTTTTCATGTCACATTGTGCAGACTTGTTTATTCTAGGCATAAAATATATGCCTCATTACCTTTTTGGTGATATCTGTCAATCCTGAGTTGCAGGAACTAGGCAGGCATAAAATACTCAGGGCTATGCAAATGGCTAAATTAGAAGATGTCATATGGTTGACTTCAGAATTTTTCTCAATTTTGTAGAATATTCTGAAAAGTTGTTTCAAAAGAATGACATTCAGTTGGGGTAGTTGCTCTAAAAGACTGAAAACAGAGACAAGTTATTTTAAAACAATAAATTTTACTCATGGAATTGTAAATATGAAGAAAGGAAACAGAGTAATTGTATCTTATTCATGATCCTCTGAGAATAAAATGAGTAATATGTCCTATAAATATTGCTTGAAATATCTCCCCATAGTCAGAAAAAAGGGACAAATTTAATTGATACACACACACACACACACACACACACACACACACACACACACACATTACATAAATGCTGAGATTAAAAGCGTGGGCCCACTGTGACTCCCCAAGTCATACTTCTTCTTTCACAATGTCTTCTGTATTTGTGAACAATTAAAGCCTTTTGTTGTCTGTCAATATGTTTAGTAAATGATTCTGTGGTATATGATCTAATGTGTCTAAGCAAACATTATTCCTATTTCTGTTGATGTTGCTCAAGAAATTAGTGAATCATTACCTCTGCACTGTAGCTACTTTCTTCTCTTCACACACTTGGTCGAGGACACCAAGCCATTCATCATGTAGTCGAGACGTCAGCACACTTCCTGGTATATTTTGAAGAAACTCCTTCCATCCATAGAAATCATTTTTTGTAGAAAATATAATTACAGGAATTGCTAAAAATACATCCAACTGTAAAATTCAGTTTAGTTAAAACTTTGTTCATAGTTCCCACTCTGTCCCCTAGTTGGAACCTAGTCTTACACGTTGATTATTAAATTTTGTCCATCAAAACTAGAAACCTAAGACCAGATTTTGGGTAGAGCAAACTAGCACACACTTAAGAGATCAATACCTCATTTCAAATTCTATTTTTTTTAATTTATTTATTATGTATACAGTGTTCTGCCTGCACACATCCCTGCAGGCCAGAAGAGGGCACCAGATCTCATTACAGATGGTAGTGAGCCACCATGTGGTTGCTGGGAATTGAACTCAGTACCTTTGGAAGAGCAGCCAGTGCTCTTAACGTCTCAGTCATCTCTCCAGCCCACTCAAATTCTATTTTTAAATGGCAAACATACATGTTATGGTGATTTCTTCACAATCAAGGGCTTTTTACTTTTCACCCTAATGGCTCTGAAATAAGTGATCTAACTGCATAGACCCATCTGCTCATAAGCAAAGGATGAGTGATCCTAGACTTTCTTTCAAGTGCTGCGTTCTGAGAAAAAATGCTTCTAGTAACATTGTTGTGGAATATTAATTTTAAGGTGTGTTACTTTTGTTTATGTTGCATTTGTTTAACTTTGTGTAGCTGTGTTACTGTACCTGTCTAAAACACCTGATGGTCTAATATAGTGCCCAACCTGCCAGTGCCAAGGCAGGAGAGAAAAATAGTTGGGGCTGTCAGGCAATGAGAATAAATAGGAGAAATCTGGAAGGGGAGGTCAAGGAGCCAGAGGAGGAGGAAGACTCCAGAGGCCAGCCACCCAGCTACACAACAAGCTACAAAATAAGAGTGAAAGTAAGATATACAGAAGTAAGAAAAGGAAAAAGCCCAGAGGCAAAAGGTAGGTAGAATAATAAAAAGATAAGAAAATCTGGAAAGAAAGAAGCCAAGCTAAGGCTGGGCATTTATAATTAAGAATAAGCCTCTGTGTGTGATTTGAGAGGTGGATGGTGGGCCCCTCAAAAGAACAAAACCAACAACATTTTGGTACACAATGTGGGGCTCAAATCCATGACCCTGCGATTAACAGTGTCATGCTCTACAGAATGAGCTAGCTGGGCATTTACAATTAAGAATAAGCCTTCATGTATGATTTATTTGGGAGCTGGGTGGCAGAAACCCCAAAAGAGAAAAAAACAAAAAACAACATTTTGACATACCAATATAAGGCTTGATATTCCATAGGGCCTGAGAATGCTTGAAAAAACAAAAGAGGATAGAGCTTCTTTAAGAGTTTATGCCAGCTGGTGAGCCCTTCGGCAGCTAGTATGTTAAGTAGGAATAAAACACTTAGTAAAAAATGCCTGCCACAGTGCAAGCATCTCAGCATTCTAGAGATCCAGGAAGGTTGAATCTACTTCCAAACAGGTCTTCGGCTTTCTAGGCTTAGCTTTCATGACTCAAGAATTGGACAGAGTCAGCTGAGGAATGCTCAAGAGGATTCAGGTGCAGCTTAGTAGTTCTAAAGTTTGCTCACAAGGTCAAAAAAGAATAGAGATGCTCAGTAAAAGAGGTCCAAAATGGAAATACTGCTAAACAAGTTCCATTGTGTTTTACAATATATGTAGGCTTAAGAAAGAAAAAAAAGGATATAGTCATAAAAAATGAATAGTTTATAAAACAAAATCTTTAAAGACTAAAAAAAAAAGCCACCATGTAAGATGAGAAAAACCCTGGGAGTCTGGATCTTGTGTAGTATTGTGTTGATTTTAATTTTTTTGAATGTTGACAACCAAACAACAGCTGCTGAGAGACATGGGATTGAAAGAGGGACTGATGACATACACCAGCCTTGATATTGTAAGAATGCCTTAACTAAAACAGAAGTCAAAAAACACATGTATGTAATGGAACTTAAAAGATGCATTGCTTTGGAGAAGTGGTTTTGCTTTTGTTTCCACAGAAGATGAGGCTTTGGATTCGTCCCAGGTTAATGTGGATCAGGTTTGATCAAGAGAGACCTCCTGAACCTTGACAGGTGGTATCTATCAGCAAAGGTTACTGCTGGTCTTCCCTAGACTTGGTCATCCTCTCAAAATTTTCTCAGGGACCTCTGGGGATCCCTTCGTCCACAGACAGCAGGAAGCAGTTTGGAGAAAACGACGTCCACATTCCCAAAAGATGGGTTGTGGGAGGCTTTTGGTTTTTTGGTGGGTTATGGATGTTTGCTATCATTTAGGGGAATATAGGAATGATAAGATAGAATTATATATTATTGAATATACTTTAAATAATAAGATAGATTATTGAGTCTACTATAAACTGAAAAACAACTATTAATTTCAAATATTTTGTATTTTCAAGGGCTTTTATATATTGATACAAATTTAAGGTAATTTTTGTTACACCACACAGTACATGTTTCTATTCTTGTTTAAAAGACTTGTATATTGATACAAATTTAAGGCAATTTTTGTTATAAAACACTGTATATATGTTTCTATTCTTATTTAAGGACTTTTGTATATTTATACAAATTTAAGGCCATTTTTGTTATACTGTTTATAAGTTCTTAATCTTGGTTAAAGGATTTTTGTATATTGATACAAATTTAAGGTTATTTTTCTTACAACATATTGTATATATGTTTCTACTCTTGTTTAAGGTATTGTAACTATGGAGTTCTTTTAAGATTTAAGGTAACATTCTATTTTTGAAAGCTATTATTATGAACTATTCAGGATAATCAAGAAACATAGGTTAGTAGTTAGTCATCCTTAACAATCAAATATGTAGATATGTTAGGTTTGCTTTCAGGTCATATAGAGTTATATTTTAGATATATGGTCTTCAAATACTTCAAAGACCTAGAAAATATGGCATTTATAAGATTTTGTTAACCTAAGGTTTTTTTGTGATAATGAGACAAGTCTGCTATTGCCAGCACCAATTTACTTCAGAGGTGATGGGCATTGAAGAAACTCCTTAAGGAGTTTGCTTTCATTGTGGCAGTGTTAGCTACTGGGCAAAAAACTGCTCTTGCCGTTGACTGCTGACAATGTGCTGTGCAGACTGGACATGCAGGACACACAGGAAAAAAAAACTATTCAACTTTGACAAAACAAGGCAGGACAGTCCTTCAAAATTCCTGCTTCACAGAAAAGTTTGCCAGATATTTTGCAAGACATGGAGGAAAACTATTGATGAACTTTGCCAATACAAGGCAGAACAGTCCTTCAAATTTTCTGCTTCATTGAAAAGTTTGCCATATATTCTCAGCCTACAGGCTGAAGATGGATGCTCCAACATTGAAGAGGAACTTTGGATGACTGTCCAGGCAGCCAAATGTCTCTGTTGTTAGATAATATTATATCCTTCTGAGTCTTTGATGGAGTTAAAGAGTAGGTAGTTATAGTTGCAGTTTTCCTTAGTTTGATATTAAGTTAGGTGTAAAACTTTGGACTCACTATGATAGGTTAGACAATGCATTATTTTCTCTGAATATGCTAACTACAAATGGACAGAATATTGCAAATGTAATTCTTACTTGAACTGTTTTTATTTTATTAAGTTTTTGTTGTTGTTGTTGTTGTTTCGAGACAGGGTTTCTCTATGCAGCTTTGTGCCTTTCCTGGGACTCACTTGGTAGCCCAGGCTGGCCTCGAACTCAGAGATCCTCCTGCCTCTGCCTCCCCAGTGCTGGGATTAAAGGCGTGCACCACCACCACCACCACCACCACCACCACCACCACCACCACCCGGCGATTTTATTAAGTTTTACTATGTTAAAGTTAAAACCTTTCATTTTTATTCAGACAAAATGGGGGAAAATGTTGTAGAATACTATTTTAAGATGTGTTACTTTTGTTTATGTTGCATTTGTTTAACTCTGTGAAGCTGTGTTACTGTGCCTATCTAAAACAACCCGATGGTCAAATAAAGAGCTGAACAGCCAGTGTTGAGACAGGAGAGAGAAATAGGTGGGGCTGGCAGGAAGAGAGAATAAATAGAAGAAGAAATCTGGGAAGGGGGAGATCAAGGAATCAGAGAAAGAGGAGCCCTCCAGGGGCCAGTCACCCAGCTACACAGCAAGCCACAGAGTAAGAGTGAAAGTAAGATATACAGAAGTAAGTAAATGAAAAATCCCAGAGACAAAAGATAGATGGGATAATTTAAAGATAAGAAAAGCTGGCAAGAAAGAAGCCAAGCTAAGCTTGGGCATTTATAATTAAGAATAAGCCTCCACGTGTGATTTATATGGAAGGTGGGTGATGGGCCCCTCAAAAGAGCAAAACCAAACAATAACATAACATCCTGTAAGTGGTGGAGGAAATGGAATGTGTGTCTTTTTATATTGATTGTCAAATAAATATCACAAAACTGGGAAACAATATGGTTGCTTAAAAAATACCTGAACAAAAATATCATCTGTAGTAGCACTAATTTGAAATGCAGAAATCTTATGAAAACAAATTTCTAGATGTAGAACTATAGACACATAAATACTACAGAGAGTAGAAAAATAAATCTTCCTCAAAGACGAACCCCCTAATTGGTAATCCAATAGCAATTGGTGGCTAAGAAATAGTGCATATACTGCTAACCATAAGTGGACTCATCAGATTGTTTTAACATTTTTATGGATGTGTATGTATATATGTATGTAATAACAAAAATTAAAGAAAATGGACCCTGCATTAGAGAGGAAGTGGGAAGTTGATGGGAAACAAGAGGATTTAGAGTAAGGAAAGGAAAGGAGTGAAATGAGTGATTTAATTTTAATTTTAATTGTAACATAAAAGTAACATTCTATGGGGCTGAAGAGATGGCTCAATGATTAAGAATGCCTGCTTCAAAGCCATGGGACCTGCATTTGGATAAGGAGGAGACAGGAAGATAATGAAATCTTACTGAGTATGTTTAGCCAAAGTATATGTGGAAGAGATATATGTTCTAAGGAAGAAAAACCTGCCTCTCAGGGAAAAAAAAGTAGAGAGTGACAGAGAATGATGAAAACTGGTACAAAACAGACCTGACTAGGCATGTACACAAGGTGTACACTCATGTGCCTGTATAAAATGACACTCCATATGAAGGGGGATGTCTTTCTGTATGCAGTGAATATATGTTGTTCCTGTTCCCAATGGTTAATAAATGAGCTGCTTTGGCCTATGGCAAGGCAGCTTAGAGGCAGGTTCTTCTTTCCTGTCTCTCTCCTTAGAAGAAAGGCAAAGGCAGAGGGACACAAGCCTGCTGCTGAGGGAGCAACAAGATGTCAGCAGATGGGTAACACCACGGCCATGTGGCAACATACAGATTCATAAAAATGGGTTGACTTAAAATGAAAGAGTTAGCTGGCAAGCAGCCAAAGCCATAGGCCATACAGTTTGTAAATAATATAAGCCTCTGTGTGTTTATTTGGGTCTGAGTCACTGTAGGACCACAGGAGAGAGAGATTTGTCTGGACTGTGGGGGACCGGGCAGGACTGGAGAAAACTTCTGGCTACATTTGGCTGCCCAACATGGAGCAAGGAGTTTCCACCTAAATCCTGAGAGAATTTTAAAAAGGGTTCTAAAATGGAGCCAAGAGCAGCTTCCTAGTTGTGTCTCTCAGGCAAACCATGAGCTATAGTATGGCGGGTTCACAGCATGTGGGCTTGACTTATAGCATGGCAGATTCCCTCGGCAGTACACAGAGGTGTCTCCAAGCCATGTAGCATACTGCACGGTGGATTTAGGTTTTGCTAGTGCAGACACAAAAAAAAAGTTTCTGAGCTACACATTCCTTGATAGAGGCATAGACCCACTGCCTCCATGAGTTGGCAGAGAGCATGGCTCCCAGAGCTGGCGATGAATTACCTCTACCATGTTGGGCACCTGAAGTGGGCAGAGCCAGCAGCCAAGGCTGCTGTTTCAGTCCTATCCATGCAGCATTTTAAAGCAATAGATTCACAAAAAGACAGATTCAGATGGAATAAACCCCTAAATGGTTTATGTTATGTTTAAAAATGCACTTAGGCTTGGAAGAGAGAGGAAAAGGAGGATAAACAGTTATATAAAGAAATAGATAGTTTTAAAAATTAAAGTGTTTAAAGAGACAGTAAACGTAATATAAAAAATAAGCCATGTAAAGTTGGAAATTACACAGAGAGTCTGGATTATATTGTCTTTGGGATTTTTAACTGCAAAAAGACATTTGATTGCAAGGGCTACTAATATATATATATATATATATATATATATATATATGTATTTTTTAAGGGTATCTTCAAAATTTGTGTCTAAGAATATTTTGCTTTGGGAAAGAGGTTCTACTTTTGTTTCTACAGAAGATGAGAATCTATGGATTGCTTCCAAGCTAAGATGGTTTGATCAAGGAAGACCCCCTGAGAGGTCTCCAGATGTTCGAACATCGAGAACAGCGTCAAGCAAACTGGCTCAGACTATGCAGTCTCACAGACTACTCCAGTCAGGACTTGACCATAACTCTTAATTTTCTCAGAATCTCCATAAGATTGCCAGCACCCCCAACCAGCAGGAAGTAGTATGAGAAGCTACGCCCACATTCCCAAAATATTGTTTATAAATGTTTATTTTTATTTAAAGGGGGTTAATTATAAATGCAATCTTTCTAAAATAGAAAAGGGGATAGTATAGATATGATAGGATAAAAGGGTAGATTATTGAATCTACTTTTAAAGAGCAACAACTTGTTTAAAATGTTTTACATTGCTATGGATTTTAGTTTATTGATACAAATTTAAAGTTACTTTTGTTATACTGTATGTATATTTCTATTCTTGTTTAAGAATTATGTTTGTGCAGCTCACTTGAAATTGTAAAGTATACAGATTAATAATTAGTCATCCATGATAATCAAACATATAGTCATGTTAGTTAAGTTTTCTAGGTATACATAGATATATTTCAATTAGGTAGGTAATCTTCAAACACTTTAAAGACCTACAGAATATGGCATTTAAATGTTTTAAAAACTTAGATTTTCCTGAACAATGAGACATGTCTGCTCCTGGTAGTAGTACCAATTTACTTCAAAGAGGAAGAGGGGCATCGAAGACACTTCATATGGAGTTTATCTTCTTCTTGGCAGAACTGCTATGTGGACAAGAAACTGTTCTTGCCTGGACTGATTGAAAAAATGTTGTATATACTGGACATGTAGGACCTATGGAAAAATGACTACTAAATTTTGCCAAAACAAAGCAAGATGGCCCTTCAGGTTCCTGCTTCGCAGAGGAGAGTGCCAGACATCCTACAGAACAAGGGAAGAAGTGACTAAAAAAGCTCTAGGCCTATTGGCTGAAGATGGATGCCCCAACATTGCAGAGGAACTTGGGGTGACTGTCCAGGCAGCTGGCTGTCTCTGTCATTCTAGATTTTTGGAAGTTGCTTACAACACAGTTCCTATTTACTTAGGTAATATTATATCCTTCTTGGGTCTTTGATGTAGTTGAAGACTAAATAGTTGTAGTTATAATTCTCCTTAGTTGTGATAAAAGATAAATTAGACATGAAACTTTAGACTCACAAATACGGGATAGACGACAGAATATGTCTTTAATTTTCCCAAATACAAATAGACTATATATTGCAACTGTAATTCTTGCTTGACAACTGTTTGTTATATATAATTTTACTATGTTAAAGCTAAAACCTTCCTTTTTGATTAGATAGAAAAAGGGGAAGTGCTGGGAGATGTCTCTCTGTACACTGTGAATATATGTTGTTCCCATTGGTTAATAAATGAGCCGCTTTGGCCTATGGCAAGACAGCTTAGAGGCAGGCGGGAAATCCAAGGAGAGAGAAGGAAAGAAGAAAGGCAGAGGCAGAGAGACACAAGCATGCTGCCAAAGGAGCAACAAGATGTCAGCAGACGGGTAGCACTATGGCCACGTGGCAACATATAGATTTATAGAAATGGGTTGATTTAAGATGCAAGAGCTAGCTGGCAAGCAGCTAAAGCGATGAGCCATACAGTTTGTAAATAATACAAGCCTCTGTGTGTTTACTTGGGCCCGAGTGGCTGCAGGACTGTGGGTGAGAGACATTTGTCTGGACCGTGGGGGCAGGGCAGGACCCGAGAAACTTCTGTCTACATCCTTACCCTGTGATTATTTTGAAACCTGTGTCGCATGAGGAACAGAGGAATCAAATAAAAGATGCCTCGTTATGTTACCATTCACTGTGACTGGTTTATGTTTGAACCCTTGTGTTGTAAGCATCAGAGGGACCTTTTGGCTTATCATATTTCTATCATTCCTGTCTACTATCCTTCAAGAGTAAATGTGATAAGGGAAACTACTCACACAGATTGAGAGGAATCCTGAGTGTAGAGTATAAGAGAACTCCCCCTATCTTTTAGATGCCACAACAGGGACATTTTCATTGTTCAAGTTCACTTCTGTCCCAGAATCCAGCCTTTCTTTTAGGGCTCAGAATAATCTTATATCCCCAGATGCTCTGAAGATACCTTCAGTGATTGGCCCCTTTTCACTAAGAAATGATAGCATGTCTTAAGAGAAAGAAAGAGAAACACCTGTCACTCTACCTGCAGCAAAGAGCAGGATTTCCTTCTTCTTGAGAACCAGGCTAATGGGTGTGCATAGTTGCAATGCAAGAGTTGGCGTGGATGAAGAGGAACTGAACTGCTTTTGGTGCTTCTATCTCCTGTTGTACCCATCCCACCCTAATGTTAACCCTGAAACCTCAGGCAATGTTTATTTTTAATCAGATTTCCCACTACAGTAAAGTGATTTAATCCAACTTTTCCAATACATGGTTTCTGGCGAATAGCCCTCGCTTACCTTTCTATACTTAAGGCAATGATTTGATGCACACTTGTTTCTCCACTTGATGATAGAATTGAAGGGGGTTATTTAGAAGCAGGATTTTGTCCTTAGGACAGCCAGAGAAGAATCATGTGAGACCTACCAGAATTGCTGTGGGTAGATTGCCATCCCCACAGATGGCAGTCAGATCTTTTCCAAAGAGTTTTCCTGTCTTCACAACTGGCAGGAATGTGCACACTTGATCCTGGTGGGGCACAGAGCCCTTGTGGAACAACCAGGATATGAAAGGCTGTCTTCTCTTAATGGTTGGCTCCTCTGTATCTAAAGAGGAGATGAGATCATTACATGGAGTAGTTTCATTTATGCAACTTTTGTCACAGATTTCCAATTGCATAAGATACATGCTGTAATGCATACAACAAGGTTATCATTTCTGATATAAAATTCCCCACATTGTTAAATTGGTTACTCATCCTGTTGTGTGTGTATATGTATAGTCTTCTTCCCTATACTCTGCACGGTTCATCACGGAGACCTGATCTGAGTGTTCTTCTGTGGGAATTCTCACTACACAACGCTGTCTAACCCCCACATTACATCATGAGGTACTTGATACCTAGTTAACATGATTCATGAGTTTTGTCCCATCAGAGGCCTCAGTGTCATACCCTTTTTCACAACCACCCTCACTGGTATTCACATCAAGCAGTGTTCTATTGTCCTCCAATGTCAGAGTGTGTCTCTTCCCATTCTGAGCTTTCTCGCTGAGCTTTTTGGAGAACCACTGTCAGATTTCTCTCATCAGCAGCAGATGCCCTCAGGAGAAAGTGTGCATGACTACGTTTGTCAGACAGACTCTGGGCCCATGCTCCCACTGTGTTAGTTCAAAGCTGAGATCAAAGTCTCTCTTTCTAAGATTGCTTTTAGAATATTGAGCCATAATGAAATCTTTAAAAAGTTACTATGACAGCCAGGCAGTGGTGGCCCATGCCTTTAATCCCAGCACTTGGGAGGCAGAGCCAAGAAGATCTCTTTGAGTTTGAGGCCAGCCTGGTCTACAGAGCAAGATCCAGGACAGGCACCAAAACTACACAGAAAAACCCTATCTCAAAAAAACAAAACAAAACAAACAAAAAATTACTACAACAGATGTGTTAACAGTAAACAAAGGAGTCACAGAACAAAACACAGTCTTTTTCAGCATACAGTATACTGGTTGGCTTTCCAATACCAAATAGTCAGACCTTAAAACACAAGTAATATTATTCAGATTGAGTAAGATGTATGAGTGAGTGAGTATGTGTATGTTCATGTGTACATGTATTTATGCATGTATATTTGTAAATTTTTAAAAAGACAAGAATTCGAAAGCAATCAAAGTGATTCATGAGAGGTTTTGTAGAAAAGCAAAAATAATGAAAGTATAGTGTAATCTGAAAAAATATTTAAATAAATTCAAAGGCCCCAGTATATAAATATTAGGTCCATTTCTAGCTCAGACTCAGATCTAAAGACACATATAAAACACAGTTGTTTTGTGAATTGAAATGAGACTAGAGACTGGGATCCAATCCTAAGGCCATTTCTACTCAAGCCCAGAACAGATGATCTCCCCTTCCATACATATAACTTTTCTGTATAACTTTCATTACAGGTTTGTCTAAGTGCAGTGATTAGGCCATGTTTTGCTCTGATCATAAACCCACATGATGGGGAACATATGGGGATCCAGGTCTTAGAAATCATATTCTAATGGGACCAAAAGTGTATGCACACATATGTATGCAGTATCTTGGCATACCAGCTTATGGTGACAATCTGCCTGGAAGAATGAAATGTTCTCACTATGAACAAGCTGAGTCTTGCAGCACTTAGAATTCTCTCAAGTCTGGCCTGGGGCATGATGTTTGGTTTTTGATTTTGTTCCTTTCCAAGCAAGAAATGACACTATGCATTGATATTTTATGCAGAACAGCAATTGGAATTGAGAAAGGCCACTTGAAGGAAGGTCAGAGACTCACTGTTCCACTTCTGGTTTCTCGCTGGGTCTCTGGGCTTTAGGATGAATCGCCCCTGTATATCTGCTTGTTGCACATACAGCCCAGGCAGGATAGGAAAAGCTGTGCAATTTCTTGATTCCCATCGTTGATCGACAGTATTTTGAATGTTTCTCATTATGGTGTCATAGGGATGCTCATGCCCTATGAGAAGAAAATATGAATGTGAGTTGAAACTTGAATGTGAGCAAACCTGCCAATGTGCTTTAGCATGCACTGTTATATTGGATTTCTCCTTGTGCTTCTGGACCAAGTAGACTGTACACCCTGGAGCATCAGGAGCCTCCCTGGAACATTCTGATGAGGTAAGAATGTGTAAGCCAAGAACTCTAAAAACAGAAAACTTTCAACTTGTCACTTTGTTTGAAGAACATAGGCCCATCAGTGTACTGTTTAGGGGGGACTTTTGCTGTGCTCCCCTGTGACCGTCTTAAGGCCTGCTGGTTTCTGCCTTGATATCAAGATTTTTTACATCATTAGAATATTACTTCACTGGTCTAGCATAGTATTAACATAAATATTTCCCATTCCATAATTGACATTTATAATGAAAAGGAAAGATGTTTATATGGAGGGGGGGCTGGTACTCTAATTCTCTTAATCACGTCAAGCACTGGTCTGTTCAATATTTTCTCTCTCATGATTTCTGTCACATTTATAAAGGATCCATTTACACTCATATCTGTACCCGCTTCTTCGTCTGGTTCACATGCTTCATGGCAGTCACAGAAGTACTGGGGTCTGTTTGAATGATCCAGCCAATGAAGACACTAGGGGGCTCTCAGTAACTATCTCTAAATGACCACTGCAGCTCTTCGTCAAGAAGACACACACATGTGAGCAGCAGACACCTCCTTACCGGCAGCATTCACTAACACGGAGCTGCTATTATAGGTAGAAATTGAGCAAGAACCTCACAGTCCATCATGGGTTAGGTCAGCCAAAGTATCCACTAGTCACTCCCACTTGTATAGGAAGGCTAGTTGTAGATGTAACTATCTTATTAAATAAGAAACACAGAGCCAGTGCAGAGATGAAAGCCCAAGAGGTCAGAGCTAAGAGCCTTACCCTTCACTGCTGCTGCTGTCCTCTTCCGGAAGAGAGCTACTTCCTGTTTGTCTTTTTTATAGACTTTCTATTCTGCCTTCTCATTGTTTGTAAACCCAACCACATGACCTCCTCGTCACTGCCTGTCTGTATAGACCTCCAGGTCTTCTATGGTTGGTATTGAGATTAAAGGCATGTGTCTCCATGCTGGCTGTATCCTTGAACACACAGAGACCCGCCTAGCTCTGCCTCCCAAGAACTGGGATTAAAGGTGTGCACCACCACTGCCCAGCTTCTGCTATGGCTTGCTATTAGCTCTGACCCCTAAGCAACTTTATTTACTAATATACGAAATAAAATCACATTTCAGTACAAATAAAATATCACCACAGCTAGTCTCACAAACCACGACTCCAGACAACTCACCTAACACCATGTAGAAGTACTGGTTGGACCATCTGTCACTAACGAACTCTATATTTGAATTAATGAAAATGAAGCTTCTAAAGCTGAATTAAAGATCACATTGCTACAATAAGCACAGAAAATGTGCTAATATGAATTAATTTTGTGAGTACATGTGGCTTTTGCAGGGATGAGAGTAACTGAGACCAGAGATCGTGGAGTCTTGATCCTTGGCGTAGAAGACAGTGTAGGATCAACTCAAGCCAAATGATATGTCTGTAGAGTGCTATGGGATGTCTTTCTGCACGCTGTGAATATGTGCTGCTCTGATTGGTTGATAAATAAAGCTCTTTGGCCTATGGGAAGGCAGCTTAGATGCAGACAGGAAATCCAAGCAGATAGACAGGAAGAACAAAGGCAGAGGCAGAGGAGACACCATCCCACCATCCAGGGAGCAGCATGTAATGGCACACAAGTAAAGCCACAGAACACGTGGTGACATATAGACTAATAGAAATGGGCTGAGTTTAGTTATAAGAGCTAGCTAGCAAGAAGCTTGAGTCATAGGCCATGGCCATAAGTTTGTAGATAATATTAAGCCTCTGAGTGATTATTTTATAAGCAGCTGTGGGATGTAGATGGGAGAAATTCATCCTGACTGCAGAGCTGGGCAGGACCAGAGAAACCTTCTGACTACAGCAAAACCAGCCTTCTTGTTGCTTATCAACAGATTCCAATGAGGTTCATGTGACCCAAAGTCCAGGTTAGTGATGATTCAAATGTGGAAGACTGGTTCAGAAGGCTGTGTTAGAGCACACAAAGAACAGACAGCAACCAACCTGTGCACTCTGACAGGCTCTGTGCTCTGGATGCAAGCAGAGCTCTCTATTCTGTTTTGTTTGTAGTTTTAAAAGGCATACTTTATGTGTTTTGTTCATTATTTTGTGTCTCCAGTGCATAGAACAGTTCTAGGTATATAGATGGTACACAATACACAACGTGTGAGTGACTGCTGAAGAACCAGAGTTCAGATACCAGGGTACAAATAGGATGAGCTCTGAACAGGGGAGGAGTCAGATATGCACCAGAATGAAGGAGAGAGGTCCTCAAATTAAGTCAGGTGGGATATGAGGAAAAGCTAACTAAGCATGTGTGGCTTAGTTAGCCAGGTTTAAAACAGTTAAAACAGTTAGCCAGTTTATCTATGGGCAGCATAGATAGGTTAACCCACTTAGCAGATTCAGAGAGACATAACCACTGAGATAAAGCAAGAAGTTAGCCCAACACACACACACACACACACACACACACACACACACACACACACATACACACACACGGTTGAATTTGGTAGACATATACCTGGGGGCCACTCCTAATAGACACGGCATTTTAAGACTTAAAAGGAAGGACTAGATCCATGGCTCAGTGGTTAAGAGAACTTACCATTCCTGAAGATGACCCAAGGGTCCAGTTCACAGCACCCATGTGGCAGTTAAAACCATCTCTCACTCCAGTTCCAGGGAATCCAATGCCCTCTTCTGATCTCCAAGGGCACAAAACATATATGTGGTACTCATATATACATGCAAGTAAAATACTCATTGTCTTAGTTAGGGTTCTTGTTGCTATGAAGAGACACCATGACCACAGCAAATCTTATAAAGAAAACATTTAATTGGAGTCACTTGCTTATAGTTGCAGAAGTTCAGTCCATTGTTATAGTGGGGAGCATGGCAGCGTGCAGGCAGACATGGTGCTGGAGCTGAGAGTTCCTCTTACAGGCAACAGGAAGTCAGCTGAAACACTGGATGGTATTCTGAGCATAGGAAACCTCAAAGCCCACCCTCACAGTGACACACTTCCTCCAACAAACCCATACCCATTCCAACAAAGCCCCACCTCCTAATAGTGCCACTCCCTGTGAGATAATGGGAGGGGGCAATAACAATCAAACTACCGCACTCAGAAACATAAAATACAATAAAATTTTAAAACAACAAAAAGGCCCGCAGGACTTCCCCAGACTAGAGGAATGATTAAGGGGAGGATCCAGGCAAGGAGGTAGATGACATGGCTAACTACATTGCTTTGTGAACGGGCAAGGAAGAAATGGAATAATGAAGAACGTTTGCTTTTAAAGACAAATCTGGCAGAGAGCTGTGAAAAGCAAGACCTCAGTAGAGGAAGGAAGCAGCAATGCGACAAACAAGAGACAGTACAGAGAACAGCAAAAGTTAGTGACAAGGGAACTGCCAACCATGAAGAAATGCTTCTGAGCCAGAGGCTACAAACCCCTCACTGATGGTGTGTGGTGCTGCGTGATGGCCTGGTGGTGTGTGATGGTGTGTGATAGTGTGCGATAGTGTGCGATGCTGTGCGATACTGTGTGAGCAGAGAGAGAAGGAACTGGGGTTTGTTTCTGCCTTTGTAGGTAGAGAGGAGAGCAAAGATGCCTTGAAGGGAACAAATTTAGGGAGGCTACAAAAGATATGTTAAATCGTAAGTATAGAGGAGAGAAATATTCCTACTGTAGAGACCAGAGTGGGGCATCTGATCCTCTGGTAGCTATACTTTTTTGTTTTTTTGTTTGTTTGTTTGTTTGTTTGTTTTGGTTTTTCGAGACAGGGTTTCTCTGCGTAGCTTTGTGCCTTTCCTGGAACTCACTTGGTAGCCCAGGCTGGCCTCGAACTCACAGAGATCTGCCTGGCTCTGACTCCCGAGTGCTGGGATTAAAGGCGTGCACCACCACCGCCCGGCTTGTTTTCATTTTTAATATCTTGGTTAGCATTTTCATTTGGTTTCCAGGTTAAACACAAATAATCAAAGCTTGAGAAACATTCTCCCAGTGACAAAAATGACAATCTTTACCCCTGTGAAAATCAGAAAATCACTTCTCTTTCCCTTTAGGAAGTATGTTATTTCTCTCTTTGTGGTTAGGAAACCATAGAAACTGTGTCTGAAAACATTGCTGGAACAAGAAAACTTAACTGTTTTAAGCCTGGTGATGTGACAACCAGTGCTGAACTTGTCAGTCATCTGGAACAGGTTGATGATGTGTTTAGTGCTGAATGGATCTTGGCAACTTCTGATCAAATGACTCCCAATTAGGTTTCACAACAGCCTTGGGGTGCGAGTCCTCTGGGCCAGGACATGGGTAAATATTTACAAAGACCTGATGTACAGCTGCACTCTATTAGTTTACTAGGCCAAGTGGAAAGACATGCTCATGTCTAAAATAGGAATGCCTAATAATAATAATATCTTTGGATTTAATCTGCTAAAGTTATCTTGTGAAGACATTTTAAAGATTTTTTTAAATTGTGTGTTTGTGTATG